GAGTAAAATTGCAAAGTTTGGTTGCGAATTGTTGTAAAATGAGGAAAATATAGCCCTGTGAAGTTCGCAAATTTTGTATATATTTGCATTACGCGCGGAAAAAATAACCATTTTTGAGCCGAAAGTTGTTATTTTACCGCGCGTAATACAAATATATACAAAATTTGCTAACTTCACAGGGCTATATTTTCTTCATTTTACAACATTTAGCAACCAATCTTTGCAGTTTTACACATTCTAAGACGCTCTTTCTAGCTGTGGTGTTGGATTTCGTTCTTCATGCCTTGATCAAAATTTAGTCTATAGCTGGAAACAGCCTTTAATTTTTATATCCCATACTTACATAAGGGTAAAAGAGAATTCCACTCCCAAGGCAGCACCAAGTGAAACTTGACAAAATTTCGTATCGTTCGCTGTATTTGGAGCCTGGTGAACAATAACAAATACCTCGTATATATATATGGTTGAAAGAATGCTAGTCAGTTCTTTCTGAATGCAATGATCTTTATCATTTCATTGCGATAGCTTTTATAGCTTTTACGTTACATGAAATCAAATAGTGTCCCAGTTTTTTTTTTTGGGACACCCGGTACAGAACCCTATTGAATCAGCTGCTCAACATCCTGAAAGAATGCTCTTTAATAATTTAGTAATAAAAACTCCTAAACTGAATGTATGTACCACACAAGACCTATAGAGCCCAGAAGGGTACGAGATTTACTTATATTACCTTGATGTCTGGCAGTAATCCTTGTTTGATGATATCACGACTAACTTTGTTCATCCAGTTGACCTAACAGTAGAATTATTTAGTTAATAAATAATGAGCACTAGAACACACGATGCAAGGAATCCGTCAATTACCAAGAAACATTACCTTAATTTTTGCAGCCAAAGCATTGTCGATTGTCAATTGTCTTTTCCCCTCATCAAATATCTTAAAGCCTAAAAAATTAAATGCTTGGTTACTTTTGTCCATTCTATGCTTACATTATCAGAACAGTGGTAACTAGGCATGCGAGTTATCAATTCACTCACATATATAATTTAAATACTTGGTTATCTTCGTTCCATTCTATGCCTACATTATCAGAACTGTGGTAACTAGGCATGAGACTTATCAATTCACTCACACATAGAACGTAAATATGCTTGGTCATTTTTGTTTCATTCTATACTTACATTATCAGAAGAGTGGTAACTAGGACACGGCAGTTTAATGAAATTGGGGGGGGGTGGAGCATTCTCGTACCCAGAGCCCTTCTTACGCGCGGTGCGACGAGGGGCTCTGGCCAAATCCATATTTCGAACTGGCATCTGATTGGCTAGTTCTAACACCGGATATTGTTTTCTTACCATGTTTTTATGGTATCCGGTTATGGATTTGGCCAGAGCCACTCGTCGCACCGCGCGTAAGAAGGGCTGTGGGTACGAGAATGGGGGGGGGGGGGAGTTGACCCGCGACATTCAGACATATGTATAGGAGGCAATATGTATAAAAACAGAGTGTTAAATAAAGCTCGTACTTAGTCCTGTGATTGTTTCTCCAGCCACACACGAGAGTTCATCTTCATTACTCAGCTTTATTCCTTTCTCCCCGCCGGGTCTTGTACAGTGTACTTCAATAGCTGCCGCGCGAGAACTGGGGTTGACCATGATCACTTTCTCAATCGCTGTTATGTCTTTGAAATGCTGGAAATAATCACGTGATTGTATTATAAGGTGGTTTGTTGCCCTCATTGTGATTGTATTATAAGGTGGTTTGTTGCCCTCATTGTGATTGTATTATAAGGTGTTTGTCGCAGGCTTGGGGCAAGAGATTGGAATCGAACACAAGATTTCTGGTACCAGCGCTCTAAAATATGACGTCATTTACAAAACATGACGTCATGCACAAAGACTATTATAAGGTGGTTTGTTGCCCTCATTGTGATTGTATTATAAGGTGTTTGTCGCAGGCTTGGGGCAAGAGATTGGAATCGAACACAAGATTTCTGGTACCAGCGCTCTAAAATATGACGTCATTTACAAAACATGACGTCATGCACAAAGATGACGTCGTCCACAAAAATGACGTCATCCACAAAAAATGCATAATGTCACCTCAAAAACATGTGAAAATGACGTCATTTATTAAACCCGAGAGCACGTTGAAAACAAAAAGAAATATTTACCTGCAACTCAATCTTGGCTTTCAGTTTGGTAGGTTTAACGAGGTTGTTGATAACGACATTGCCACCAGTCAGCGAGGCTTTTCCAGAGGTACTACAGTCGCCAAGATATGTGGGTAAACCAGACGTACCTGTCAACTGATAGAGCAAAATATTATCCCTGATAAGCGTAGTTGTAACAGGAACATCTCAATACCCAAGATGGCACGATTAAACACCACTGGGGCCAGCTAGCTGATCGTTGAAAATGTTTTTCAGAAATCTTGTTTGGGTCAATACAAAATTTATTTTCAGGCGCAAATGCACAATCGTGGGTTCAGCCAGGGTTGACCAGAGCCTTTTTCTAGAGTAGGGTAAAAACGTGAGCTATGTAATAAAATGATATACACGAACAGTTACCTTGCAGACAACATTAAGCTTGGGTTGTACAGTTAAGTTTCCTGCTTTGTCTTTGACCTGCACAGACAGTGACAGCGGTTTACCGTTTTCTATTTCAATTTGTTCATCAGAAGGAACCGTAACAATGGCGTTGGGCGGACCTACAATAAAACAGAGTTAGCTGGATAAACCAGGTACCCTGATATAACCAGGGTTACATATCACCAGGGTTATATATCCATAACCAGGGTTATATATATCCATAACCAGGGTTATATATATCCATAACCAGGGTTATATAACCATAACCAGGGTTATATATCCATAACCAAGGTTAAATGTCCATAACCAGGGTTTATATATCCATAACCAGGGTTATAAATCCATAACCAGGGTTATATATCCACCAACCATAGTCTGGTTGTTTTAAAAACCGATTTACACTACACAACTTTTGCCTAAAACTGTCGCATGCAACCTGCTTACAACTTGAGTTGCACTGTGTAAATCAAGCACACAATTCGACAACGTAGACGAGTTGTATGTTGATTTCCACAGTGCAACTCAAGTTGTGTAAGCAGATTGCATGCGTACCAAATAGGATGACGTATCAACCAGGAAATTGTATACTCTTGCGTTTAAACACTTTTTCCTTCACGTACCTGGATGCAGCCGGATTTTAAGTGTCTGTTGATCATCTATTCCAGAAAGACTCACTTTTATATTGAAATCCTGAAACAAAACGGGGTGTATACTTTTATAGTTATTCTACTCACTGTTGTCGTATATATGGTTGATGCTCGGTGCTAGGCACCTCGTCAGCTATCATCCCATATACGCCTCGAGTTTGCAGAATAACTGTTAATAGATAAATTCCATTATAGACTAATTTTAAAATTAGACAAGGATATGCAAATAAATCACCACAGCTAGAAAGAGCATACTAAAATGAGTACAATTGCCAAGTTTGGTTGCGAAATGTTGTAAAATGCGGAAAACATAGCCATGCAAACTTTGCAAGTTTTGTATACTTTTGTATTGCGTGCGGAAATTGCTACCATTTTCGGCCCAAATGTGGTAGGAATTTCCGCACGCAATACAAAAGTATACAAAATTTGCGAACTTTGCAAGGCTATATATTTTCCGCATTTTACAAACATTTCGCAACCAAAGTTTGCAATTGTACTCATTTTAGTATGCTCTTTCCTGGAATATACTTTTTTGTCAAGGCCAAAAAAAATATGTGGGTTTCCGGTTTCCCGACCCTACCTAGCTTTTGGACGTCGAAATCCCGACCCTAAACTTTTTTGTTGGATCATGCTTGTAAGTGTTTCCACTTAGAGGAAAAAGTTTGTGGAAAATTGAAATTTGAGGCAATATTAGGGAAATTTATCTTTGGATGTGGAAGCACTGACTAAGCAAAATGGCGTCCGCTTGTTCGGAAAATTAAAAAAAAGTTTTAAAAAAAAAGTTAAAACCGACCTACCCTACCTAAGTTTTTATAAGAAGAAACCGGAAACCCACATTTTTTTTTTTGGCCCAAGATAAAAAATAAGTCTACAATGGGAATTGCCTATTATTTTCTTCTTCTAGCCTACCTTGCCCGTATGAGATGGGACATTTCCAAGCACTGTGACTTCTTTGATTATCAAGGCGTTTCCTTTAGTTTGTATTCCTTCATGCGTGATTTCTAAACCACTAAAACGAAAGCAAATTGCAATAACAAAATATTAACTGCAATTTAACGGAAATATGTTCACCATCGGAAATACGTTCACCATATGAATCAATGGACCATTTGCATTATAGACTAAAATTTGATCTAAACAAGTCTAGACAAAAATTTCATCACAGCTTGAAAGAGCATCCCAAAATTAGTAATATTCCGAAGTTTCGTTGCGAAATGTTGTAAAATGCGGATAATATAGCCCTGCGAAATTTGCAATTTTCAGTCATTTTGTGTTACAAACGGGAAATTGATGCCCCAACACCCGATCGGGCTCTTTGGGGCTGTGAATTTCCCGTTTGTAATACAAAATGACTGAAAACGGCAAACTTCGCAAGGCTATATTATCCGCATTTTACAACACTTCGCAACGAAACTTTGGAATATTACTAATTTTGTGATGCTCTTTCAAGCTGTGATGAAATTTTTGTCTAGACTTGTTGAGATCAAATTTTAGTCTATAATGCAAATGGTCCATTGACGTCCTCGTGTACTTCTTTACCTGGACGTTAAATCAGCATCGAATTTGCCCGATGGTTTCGTGGGGTTGCCAAAATTATCCTGAAGGTTTAATGGGATCTAAAAAAAAAAACAGTCACATCAGCAGAGAACATTTGTCAACACAACATGCTAGCTACAGGCTTGGAGCAATCTTGTAAACAAGTTGAAAATACAACAAGCTATAGGAGTTAACAGTATCAATGCAACCTGACAGCAAGTCTACTGGTCCAGAAGAAGAGTGGGAGGGAGGAGATCCACATGTCTACGCCCCTGCCTGTAACAACCCGATGTTGGTTTCTATAAATATATACGTAAAGATGGACACAAAACCGACTGTTTTATACGGACAGGATGAAGAGCATAACAAAAACCTCACCTGGAAAGGCGATGCAATACGTAAAGGGATGTCGAGTACTCCAATAGTAAACTTCTCAGGGTCGCCCTCTGTAAATATAGCATGGTCGAGGAAGTATTCGTTAGAAGCAAGTTCGGAATTCGTATATAATTTGCGGCCTTGTATTTAAATACTTAAAAAAATTAGCGGTCCTTGAAAACCTTAGGCCACGTTTATACTATACCAGATAGCTTTCCGTAGCGACGTGAAAAGAAACCATCCGTACCTTTTAGGAACGCTATTTTCGGAGGAATTATTGCAACGGAGAGATGTTGTTTCGCTCAGCTTCTGAAAGTTGTACATTCCGTATCGGACAGGTGCTTTTTCGCGCCGCTACGGAAACCTATCTAAGGGCCAGTTTTTCAAAGCTGGATAGCTTAACCCTAGGAATTACGGGAACCACTGAGTATTTTGATAAAATACAAAACAATAGATACTCCGAAAATTGAAAGCAAAAATTTATTTCAAAATGCTTTCTTTTTATTTATTTTTCAAAATGCTTTCAATTTTCGGAGTATCTATATGGTTTTGTATTTTAACCCTAGGTTAACCTAAAAATGCTTTTTTTTCTATGTTGGTGTAATGTACTCAGGTGAATATGATGCTTGTGATGTCACTCTGAGTGTATTATCCACACCGGGCAAGCTTGAAAGATATGCCTGGCAACGGTGGGAATCGAATCTACGACCTTTGGAATCAGAAATCTTATAAGTTTGGAAATATTTCTTCGGAAATCTTGTCTGACTCGGTAGCAGTTTTCTTCTCTGAAGTTTTGAAATAAACAGACGTGCAGAAGTACATAAACTACTGTAAAGCAGCAGGTTAAATTTTAACCCAGGGTTAGCGCTAATTCATCTTTGAACAACCGGCCTCAGTATAGTGTCACCGTAGCTTACTCGTACAATACCTGTAACAGTGAACTTGATCTTGTTTTTTGGAAAGCTGCTTGGCGGGAGGTTGGTCATGCTGTCACTGGCAATCACTTGAAGGGTAAGAGAATGAGAACCAAGACATGTGATGTTTGCTGGAAAATATAAGAAATACGAATAATACCGTCAAGGAATGGTTCACGATTTTTGTGTTTTAGGTGCAAGAGTCAGTTGAATGCTTCGTATATATGAATGCCTTTACCGAATTTTCTGAACCAGTACGGCCAACTTTTGCCTCCATGTTGACAGACATGTTGTGTGATGATTTTATCACCTTCCTTGTCTAGGGAAACAGAAGATTGTGTCATATGGTACTGTGTGGTATGGTACTGCATGGTATGGTATGGTATGGTATGGTATGCAACTTTTGCCTCCATGTTGACAGACATGTTGTGTGATGATTTTATCACCTTCCTTGTCTAGGGAAACAGAAGATTGTGTCATATGGTACTGTGTGGTATGGTACTGCATGGTATGGTATGGGTATTATGGTATGGTATGGTATAGTACAGTATAGTATGAAATGGTATGGTATGGCATAATATGGCATGGTATGGTATGGTATGGTATGTATGATGGTATGGTACAGTGTAGTATAGTATGAAATGGTATGGTATGATATTTTATGGTATACAATAGTATGGCGTACACGATAGACACTCACCATGCCAAATGACCTTCATTTCAACAAGCAGTCGTTTCCCTCGATCACCTGGGAGTTTACTGATCGATTCTCCCTTGCCATTCAGAATATCTACCTTGATGTCACCTGAAAACAATGAACGATAAGATACGTAGGTAAGCACGCCGGTCAGTGTGACCAAACGTTGAGAAACCAGAATTCTCAGAGAGTGACACACAGAATATATTTCTTACCAATTGTTGATCCAGCGGGAACTTTGGAGTTTTGAATCATCTCATCTCCATTTGGCCACTCGATTAACAGTTTACTTGGAAGTCTAGGAATAAAATAGAGGATATATGAAGGTGTGATGTTCCCGTCACCGGCTTATTAAAATAATTATGTGACAAGCGGAGAGGTGATATGGAATGTGTGGGTGTAACGAGGTTGGTGTTAGGTGCACTACCAACCTTTTTTTTACCCGGGGTAAAAACGCTCAAGAATTTAAGTCTACAGCAACCTACTTGGCCTCTTCCTCTGCGATGAATTTCTTCAAGCCATCAGGCGTAGTATTTCGATCCAACTTGGCAAGTGGAAAGACTCTTTTGTCCCCATACAGAGATTTTGGTTCCTAAAACAATAGAGTGGTTTTGGTTCTCAATAGGTATACAGTGTCCGTGAATACCGTCGAACATAGAAAATTTCCAAACTGTCATGGATACAACTATAGTACGGTTATAGCGTTAAAATCTCGAACTGTCTGTACCAGTGTAGGTAGAGTCAATAATATGAACCAGCTTTCGTTGATAGGGATGGAACTACCTGAAAAATATAAGGAGAATTTCGACGTTTCGAGCGAAGGCTCTTCGTCTGGAGTTACAGTACTAGCGTCTGGAGTCGCTAGAAACTCCAGACAAAGGGCCTTCGCTCGAAACGTCGAAATTCTCCTTATATTTTTCAGGTAGTTGCATCCCTAGCAACGAAAGCTTGTTCATTATACTGTAGCATTGCAGTAGACTCGCTAACCTTTCGACAAATTTTCAACGCATTGCTGACAACCTGTTAAATAGGTCGATAACTCAACTGACTTGTTTTAAACTAGATTGAGGGGCGTGAAAATCCCAGAAAGGAATGAAATCCCTGCCTTCCAGTCACAGGCGACACATAGGTCTATACTTTCAAATTAACAAAGACATATCATACACTGTTCTGGCCGTAAAGAAACTAACAAGGATGTAGCAACTTTGATCAACACCAAAGCAACGAAGCCTTACTACTTCCATTAATTAGGAAATAAAAATAGCACCCTTGTTGATAACAGTTGTAACCATAACAGATTAGGGTTCCTGTATAAATGTTAAATATGATTATTACTACCTGGATGATCTCCATTTCGCCTCCCGTAGCAAAGACATCGCCTTCGTAATCTCCGTACAACAGAAATCTCTGAATCGTTCCACACACAGTGGGAATACTACGTTGCGTTTTGATCTAAAATAGAATTGAAACCTAAGGGATAGATTTTGTAAATGGTGATCTGAATTTACACACTTGTGTGAAATTTCGCATTTTACTACAAACAAATTGACATAAGCCATAACCAGGGTTGTCTGCATTAATACCGTTATGATCCTGGGTTGGATATGGATTCAACAAGACATAAGGAAGGAATTGAATGTGGTGGAACTCAGAGAGAAGATAGGAGAAAGTAGAGTAAGATGGTATGGCCCCGTGAAGCGAATGGAGGAAAAGGAGTTTGTCAGATGGGCTGTGGAGCGTAGGGAATCAGAAACGAGAAAGAGGACAAACGAGATGGTGATGATGATCATCATTATAATGATAAGCGATGATCATGATGATAACGATGATAATGATGATAATGATAATGATCATGATGATGATGACGATCATGATCATGATGATCATAATGGTGATCATGATGATCACGATAATCACGATAATCACGATGATCATGATAGTGATAATGATGGCGATGATGATGTTTGAGAACGAATCTTACCATGTTTCCAACTTTAAATATCTTGCCATCCCATTCAATGCTGTTAAATGCCCCCCACGGAGTTTGACGGTGTTTCTGGGCGAACTCTGTACGTTTTACCGTGCCTTTGAAGTTGGAAAACTTCACCTAGAAAGTAACGATACAAAACACAGTCAGAGATACATTGAATATATTAGAGAAACTTTATTCAAACAATTGGGTAAATTTGTTCATAAATTTGAGTAATTTTACTGAAAAATTTTAGTTACTGTGTCCTAAACTATGACAAGTACATACATGGAAACTATTAAAAAACGTCAACGCTAATTACACTGGAAATATTTATACATACTTGCTTGTCATGAGATTCGTGGCATTCTTTAATCCAATCGTGGAAAGCGCGATATATCTGAGCTCTTTGTTCCTAGAAAACGTTCGGTACGACAAACGAGTTAAATGAAATATGTTGCATGCCGTCTTGAAACGGACAAAAAAGATATAGCACCACCTAGACACAGTAAATGCTCTCATATAAACTGAATACTAAAGACCAATTTACACTACACAACTTTTGCCTAAAACTGTCGCATGCAACCTGCTTACAACTTGAGTTGTACTGTGTAAATCAAACACACAACCTAATACAACGTAGGTGAGTTGTGTGCTTGATTACAGTCAAACCGCATGTTCTCTTGCGAGCAATATTGCAATCCCACAATATTGCAATTTTGATGGGCAGATTGCTCTGAGCAATTTGCAACCGACGCGAACAAATTGCAATTTGAAATTCACAAAAGATTTGTAAACAAAACCTCTGATTGGACTATAAGAAAGGGGGAAGCACCAATCCAGTTGCTCAGACTATTTGATTGGCTTCCCCCTTTCTTATAATCCAATCAGAGGCTTTGTTTACAAATCTTTTGTGAATTTCGAACTTGCAATTTGTTCGTGTCGGTTGCAATTTGCTCAGAGCAATCTGCCTATCAAAATTGCAATATTGTGGGGGCAATATTGCAAAGTTGCTCGCAAGAGAACATCCTGTTTGACTGTAACACAGTACAAGTCAAATTGTAAGCAGGTTCCGTGCGACAGTTTTAGGCAAAAATTCGACCTGTAGGCGTACCTGCCCAAGTATCACCCTATTAAACACTGTAGCCTTGTCTTTTAGCTTAACTTCCAAGTCAATAAACGTCAGCTTGTTCGTGCTAACTTGAAACGCATCGTTTGTCCACAGTGCACCGGAAAATCTAAACACGCAAGGGAAAAACAATTATGCTTGTCTACGTGAAGATATGAATTTTTCGAATGGAAATTTTTGTTGTGAAAAATGCAACTGTAAGCCCTCTGGCAGGGATCGAACCTTCGAACCTGCGATGATTCCGATGCAGCGCTCTAACAAACTGAGCTACAGAAGCCAGTTGTCGAGCTCTAACAAACTGAGCTACAGAGGCCAGTTGTCGAGCTCTAACAAACTGAGCTACAGAGGCCAGTTGTCGAGCTCTAACAAACTGAGCTACAGAGGCCAGTTGTCGAGCTCTAACAAACTGAGCTACAGAGGCCAGTTGTCGAGCTCTAACAAACTGAGCTACAGAGAGACAGTTGTCGAGCTCTAACAAACTGAGCTACAGAGGCCAGTTGTCGAGCTCTAACAAACTGAGCTACAGAGGCCAGTTGTCAAGCTCTAACAAACTGAGCTACAGAGGCCAGTTGTCAAGCTCTAACCAACTGAGCTACAGAGGCCAGTTGTCAAGCTCTAACAAACTGAGCTACAGAGGCCAGTTGTCGAGCTCTAACCAACTGAGCTACAGAGGCCAGTTGTCAAGCTCTAACCAACTGAGCTACAGAGAGACAGTTGTCAAGCTCTAACCAACTGAGCTACAGAGGCCAGTTGTCGAGCTCTAACCAACTGAGCTACAGAGGCCAGTTGTCAAGCTCTAACCAACTGAGCCACAGAGGCCAGTTGTCGAGCTCTAACCAACTGAGCTACAGAGGCCAGTTGTCGAGCTCTAACCAACTGAGCTATAGAGGCCAGTTGTCGAGCTCTAACCAACTGAGTTACAGAGAGACAGTTGTCGAGCTCTAACCAACTGAGTTACAGAGAGACAGTTGTCGAGCTCTAACTAACTGAGTTACAGAGGCCAGTTGTCAAGCTCTAACCAACTGAGTTACAGAGGCCAGTTGTCAAGCTCTAACCAACTGAGTTACAGAGAGACAGTTGTCAACTCTAACCAACTGAGTTACAGAGAGACAGTTGTCGAGCTCTAACCAACTGAGTTACAGAGAGACAGTTGTCGAGCTCTAACTAACTGAGTTACAGAGGCCAGTTGTCAAGCTCTAACCAACTGAGTTACAGAGGCCAGTTGTCAAGCTCTAACCAACTGAGTTACAGAGGCCAGTTGTCAAGCTCTAACCAACTGAGTTACAGAGGCCAGTTGTCAAGCTCTAACCAACTGAGTTACAGAGGCCAGTTGTCAAGCTCTAACCAACTGAGTTACAGAGGCCAGTTGTCAAGCTCTAACCAACTGAGTTACAGAGAGACAGTTGTCAACTCTAACCAACTGAGTTACAGAGAGACAGTTGTCGAGCTCTAACCAACTGAGTTACAGAGAGACAGTTGTCGAGCTCTAACTAACTGAGTTACAGAGGCCAGTTGTCAAGCTCTAACCAACTGAGTTACAGAGGCCAGTTGTCAAGCTCTAACCAACTGAGTTACAGAGGCCAGTTGTCGAGCTCTAACCAACTGAGTTACAGAGGCCAGTTGTCGAGCTCTAACCAACTGAGTTACAGAGGCCAGTTGTCAAGCTCTAACCAACTGAGTTACAGAGGCCAGTTGTCAAGCTCTAACCAACTGAGTTACAGAGGCCAGTTGTCAAGCTCTAACCAACTGAGTTACAGAGGCCAGTTGTCAAGCTCTAACCAACTGAGTTACAGAGGCCAGTTGAAGCAATGTAAGGTGTATGGGTATTTAAATATCAGGATTTGGGGCATCTCACTCGATATATAGTAGTTATCTATTTACCCAGTTGTCTGATTATAAGTAAGTTTCATGTGAGAAGATTAATGCTTTCCGCCTTTCAGTTTGACTCTATACCAAGACAGTGCATTCTCCAAATACTCTATTGTAGTTTACTGGACCAATAAGGTATTGCTCTTACTGGACGTCTGGGGAGTACAGTTTAGAATTGATAGCGTTAGGAATTGATACCATAAAGTTTTTTTAAATCTGAAATCTAAATTGCATTAAATTAATTTTTATTCTTTCAGAATGCAGTGTCCAATCTGCCACGAAAGTTTTGCACATAAAATGGGGAAAGGTAAAAAGTTCTGAACGATATTAGGCGTTCAAACGGACTGGGAATAGATTGAGTTTTGTTATATAGATTGACAATTATGTTGCACTAATTAAAATGCATTAAAAATATTATAAAACGACGTGAATCATACTTTATCATATATTCTATCATATATCTAGATTTCGTAATTAGGTGCATTTACCACGCAATAGTTCAAAAGTATGGATCTAGTGTATAGTATTTACCAACAAGCTGCCTTTGTTTATTATAGTTTGTATCAAAATATTGAATTATACAGTAATATCTATAGTTCATTGTGTCGGAACTATCCGAAGCTCTTCATCACCAGGCTTGTACTCTTGTAGCACAGAGAAGTGATACACAGAGAGGCAGGGATGCCGGAAGTTGCTGAGGGCAAGGGGTGCAATTGGTTAACAAGAGGGCATTCTTAATAAAAGGCACCAATGAAAATGAAAGGGCGTCATGATCCTACATTCGTGTCAATCTCCCTCCCTGTCACCAATTTTTTTCGGACCGAATACAATTATTTAGGCACAATTCCTCCGTAATTTCTCGCCAAATATTCCATAAGTTATCCTTTCCGTTTCACCTTTCGCCAAATGGATAACATCCTCGAGCGACGTTTAATTCTGTCTGTTGTAAAAGTTTTGTGCACCGGTTGCACCCCTAGTCTGCACCCGCACTGCACCCACAAAGTTGAAAATGCAAAAGGCAAGAGGTGCACTTGCACCCGCTGCACCCGTGGTTCCGGCATCCCTGCAGAGAGGAAACAGACACCTCGATAACCTGAATTTTTGTGTCACGTGTTCCACGCGCCACGCAAAATCTTCCAGCCAGTGCCGTCGCTGAAATTTCATAGCAAAAGATAGGGAAAACGCCGTTCGAAAGGTGAAAATCGCTTTTTTTTAAAAAAATGAGATACCCATGGAAATATTGTTCAATAAATTATTGTAGAATAACGGTAAGCGATCACTTTTATTGATTTCCTTTTATTAAAAGTGTTAACATAACATTTTATTTTGCGAAAGTTTGTTTTTTTCCCTATCTACTCCTTATTAAAATCGTGAAAAGCACTGACTGGGAATTTCAGATGCTTATGTATAAAAAACAAAGCAGCGAATGATATAAATTCCTCAAAATATAACTCTTGCATAAAAAAAACATGTTTACTTCTATAATATGTATAGTTTTTTCCTCTGTATGGTCAAAATTTAATAAAATAGTGAATTAATATAATTTTCTATAGTAAATAGACTGAATATATCGGCGTGACACAATTTGCCGCGTGTTTCCTCTCTGTATATCTCTTCTCTGTGCTTGTAGTGACCGTTATGACCACAGAGTAGAGACATACAGAGACGTAACTAGTGTACCCACTTTTTTTGTGCGCATGCTCGGCAAGTTACTAGATGCATGCATCTGATTGGATGACGACCTGATGACGACTCACTTTAAACTTGCTGAGCACGCGCAGTTGATCATTTTTCGCCCGGTCGCCTGAAAAAAAGTGGGTACATGATAACGTAATCTTCCACAGTGTTTACAACGGTCAGTTACGTCGCTGTATGTCTTATCTACTCTGTGTTATGACTGAACTGCGTCATTCCGCATTCGTCATTCTGCCTAAACGATGCGTCATTCCGCATGCCATTCTCTCTAAACATAGGCTACGTCATAGACTCCAGCTGGATTCTACAAGGAATCTAGCTGGAGTCTATATCACGTAAAGAGTCTATCACGTAAAAACCAAGATTTTGTTGGCATCTCACTTGATTGAATAATATAGTTCAAGGGTGTGTAGATGGAAATTATCGAGTGGAAATTTTATATTTAACAAATATAAAAATTTTTCGTGTTGATATACAGTTATATCAACACGAGTGGAAATTGGGAAAACGAGAAATTGTGTGTATAACTGTATATATAACTGTATATCAATACGGAAAATGTTTTATATTTGTTTTATAATATAGCAAATATATAAGAAATTTTTCCGACGTTTCCGCGACATCGAGTTATATCAACACGGCTCTTAGCCAATCAGCGTTCAGAATTTACAAATGCTATATTATAAAAAAATATATATAGGTTAACTGCCACGGCTCCAAGCAAATGTATAAATTTAATAAAATAATAATAACTTAAATTTTCGGCAGCTTGCCACCGCCTTCGTCAGAAACATATATATATATATATATATATATATATATATATATATATATATATATATATATATATATATATATATATATATATATATATATATATAT